CCAGCACCTGATTACGACCAGCATGCTCCATTGTTTTCTCATACACAATCTCGTTCATCACCTGCATAGGAAAGTATATTACATAATTGTCAGAAAAAGAGCACTTAGATGAAGACTTACCTGGAAACGTTTCAATGCCTTCTTCTCCGTGACACCAATGTACTGTTGCTCCAGTGCCACTGGCCGATAGCTATTGTCAAAGTAGAAGAGGCCCTTGTCGGGTTTGACGCGTAGAAATGTGGCCACGTCCTGGTAGTTTGGCAGCGTGGCCGACAAGCCAACCAGACGCACATCCTCCTGTGTGGTCTCAATGTTGCGTATGGTACGTGCCACCAGAGCCTCCAGAACTGGTCCACGCTCATCGTGCAACAAATGAATCTCATCAATAATGACAAGACGCACCAAACTGACAAATGTGCGTTCGCCACCCTTGCGTGTTATAATATCCCACTTCTCTGGCGTGCAGACAATCACCTGAGTCGCAGCGATTTGCTCACGCGTCAACTGGTGATCGCCCGTCAGCTCGGAGACGGTAAGGTTGTAGCACGCCAGGCGACGCCCAAAGTTTCCGACCATTTCCTGCACCAGAGACTTCATGGGTGCCACATAGATGATCTTGAAATCTTGAGCATTGATGGTGCCATCCTCGTTGATGTGCTTGCCAATTTCTCGCATCATCGTGAGCAGGGCTACATTTGTCTTACCAGCACCAGTGGGCGCACACAGCAGCATATTCTCATCGCTGTCCAAGGCGGCTTTGTAGAGACGACTCTGAATGCGATTTAAGGTCTTGAAACCATCGAAGACGGGTTGCACATACTTGGGCAGCTTGTCAATAGGCTGAAGTTCCTCGTTGGCATCGAAGGGTACCTGCTTTAAAGCGGGAACATGCACCTCTTCGTAGCCCTTACGCTGCTTGCGATAGCTGCCATCGGGCAGCTGGCATCGCTTGTTGGCCATAAAATGAGAGCCCTGGGTAAAGGCCAGCTCGTCCAGTTCCAGCAGTTGACGCACACCGGCCACTTGACCAGCAGCCGCCGCACCGCCATCATCGGCATCGCCTTTGCCACGCTTGCTGGCGCGTGCATCAGCCTCTTCCTGCTCATCTGCCTTGCCTGTGTCCAATTGACGCAGTATCTTGGCCAGCGCTATATTGCCACGCATCTTTTCACGTATACGCTGCCGCTCGCTGTCCGTTTGTGCGGACGCCAACATGGTACAATAGAGTATCATCTGGCGATTCAGCTTCAGCTGCTTAATGAAATCAAAGCAATCATAGCCCAACAGCAGCACCAACTGATTTTCGCAATCGCGTTCGTCGGCGGCATCTTTTAATATCTTGAGGACATCTGCTGCCTTGCTCTGCGAGACCATAGCATCCTTATAGTATTTGCTCAGACAGCGCTGCAGCCAGTAGGCATCAATGTCCAGTGGATGAAGCGAACGATCCTTTTTTACATTGCTCGCAGCCTCTTCGCTGGCAAGCTGTAAATTAACATAAGTATAATACGTGATTTTCGTGGGTGTGATATTACTTACATTTTCGGCATGCAGCGTATGATCGATGCGTGCCTCCTCGCCCTCGTCCTGGGCATCATCATCGCGTATCTCGCCGTACATGTCATTGTCGCTCTCCTCTTCGGACTCCTCGAATTGCACATTGATGCCGTAGGCATCATCAATTTGCTCCTCATTGTTGGTTGCTGCTGTAAGCGCATTCACTGCATCGCTGCCAAAGTCTGTGATCTTCTTGCCCAAATTGACGAGCAGTGCAAATCGTTCGTCTGTTACTTCGCCCAGCAAACTGTCAACGTCGCGTTTGCGCTCCCGATCCTTAAGCCGATCATTCTTAAGCACAGCTAGAATTTCATCCGCGGCGCCGCATAATATATCGCGCGGTTGATCACCCAGCGCCTCTTGTATGAAACTTAGCAGCACCTCGTATGTTTGACGGGTCTCCTGCGTTTTGGGGCGATACACAATGCCTACCATTTCATCAATACCCTCCGAAAGCAGTGTAGCGCCTTTCATGCGCTCAAAATCGTACTGTGCCTCGTCACGTTTTTGCCGCTTCACCTTGCGTTCTTCTGTTTTCTCCGGCTTTGTGCGTTGATAGCGGTCCCCCATACGGGTGCCATCCAATTTGCCCACCAATGAACACACTTCGCCGGTGGCTTCATCGCGGCGCGGACGCTCGATGAGACGAACATCAGCTTGCAGTACAAGATTAGAGTTCTGCCAAGAAAAAAAATATATTAAAATTTTTCAGCAAACGTTTACCGCATGTATCAGCACTTTTTTTTTAACTCTTGTAAAACACTTACCGCCTTATACTCATACTGCAATTGACGTGCTGCGGCATCCGCCATATTTCTTTACCTTTCCGTAAGCTTTTGTGTGCTGAATTAACTTATTTTCGCAATTTTTATGCGGTACAAACATTCGGCATTTTCACTCTTTATTGGCTGGCTGCAAGATAGGGTTGCATTACTGTCGATACTATTAGCAACGCTTGGTATCGACATTTTTATATCGATATACACTTTGACAGTGTTGCATTTTTCAACACTAGTTTTTTTTGTAGCTCTGGTCACACTGTAGTTACTATAAAGTAAAAGTAAACAAAACAAACAGCGCTCCGCTGTAACTGCAATATATTGAGCACCAAATCGATAATCAGTTGTATTGCGACCTCGTCAGCGAGTAGATCGTAACCAGGCCAATCAAACTAACTATATAAACACATATCAGAATGCTGCCGCTGCCAAGCACAGATCAGGATCTACGCTGCCCTGGATACTGCGATTGCCGTTTCCCCAGCTGCATCGATGTAGCCAACCACAAGGGACATATACCCGACTTGGTGAAGTGCCGCTGCGGCGAGGACAGTGCTAATGGTGTGCAGTGGCAGTGGCACCAAGTGGAAGAGTCCGACGCACAAATCATAGGCAGAGACATCATATTCCATCCCACATACAGTCAGGGCACGGCCATTGTGCGTGGAGAGCAGCCACTGCAGCAGGACAAAGTGCACTTCTGGGAGATGCGCGTCATTACAGCGCTGGCAGGTACAGATGTGGTAAGTTCTAGAGCACGGCAAATGCATCTTAAGGGATTAAAATAGTCAGCGAGATAAGCTGCATTGTAAAGATAAGACAACAGGGACACACTTGTCACTGTCTGTCTGTTTTGGCATGAGGAAATCGGAGCATTGGTAGCCAGAAACCGAGTGGCTGAGTTGATAAGCAAATCATGTACCCCTCTCGAGTCGCGCGCTTACAAAAAGGTCAATGCAAACATAATAGTCCCAGTTATTACAATTTCTTTCTCTGTCTCGTAATCTTTTCTAGATGTTTGGCATAGGCACTGACCGCGTTAATCTGGAACAATTTAAATTTCACTTTGTCTCTGCATTGGGTACCAATGCTCAATCTTGGGGCTATTCATACAATGGTAAAATTCAGCATTGTGGGGACCAGTTGCCCTATGGCCAGAAGTTTTCCCAGGGCTGCTTGGTGGGCATCTATTTGGACCGCACGCGTGGACACTTGGAGTTCTATTTGAATCGCCGTTCACTGGGTGTTGCCTACACAAATATACCAACAGATCCGCATGTCAAAATCTATCCCATGGTCTGCTCCACAGCTGCCAAGTCTGTCATACGGCTGATTAACTCCACATCACAGCCGGCTACACTCCAGCTGAGAGCATTTGAGGCGCTCTCAAAACAGCCGCAAAAACTCGATGAGCTGCGTCAAATGCCCGGCTTGAATAACATAATGCAATCGTATTGGTTTCTGGCTCCACCCGTGCGTTATTCCAGGTGCTCAAGGGACCCCGAGCTGGACCTGGGCGATGAGGCGGTGCTGCCCAGCTCCAAACTACGCCTGGGCAGAAAGCAAAAATATAGAGGTAAGTTAAGCGACAAATTATACAAGATGTCAAAATATGAACTTATAAAAGCATTTGCCACATTATTACTCTGCTTGTGTGAGGCACTTTAACATGGTTATACATTTATCGAGTACAAGTCAATAAAAGCAATTGTTGTGAACTAATCATATACACTTCCTTTGTATTATTCTCGATCAATTTGTAATCATGCCTAAGAGCCCACTCATTATCGTGTTTAAGGTTTGCTCAATTTGCAAACCAATATTTAAGAAGTAAATAAAGTGCCTTTATCTATTGTAATTCTGGTTGGTTTTGCTCGAGATAAAGATAGAGATAATATTATTAGATTTCATTTACTTAAACTAAACCTTAACTTATGAAAGTTAAATTGTTTACACATATATAGGAGATAACCAGGTCTGAATTTCATTAATATTTATTCTTATATTTAACTTAAGAAAATACGTACCTACTCGTAATACGGGTGAGAATCGCATAGGGGGGCGATGTTGTTATTTGTTTTGTATGTGTCGCTTGGATAACTCTTGAATATGTAATTGAAATCATTCTAGAATTCAATTATGCATTTATGTCATTTTTTTCAAATTACAGATAATTATTGTTTATTCTGTAGCCATGTCCATGTAACCCCTCAACACCCTCGCTTTATCTCCAGCTATATATTATATACTTAAGTTACGAGACCTTGTTCTCTCTGTGCCAATTGACAATCAATTAAATATACATATTTCATTTTTTCAGAAACCGACGATGTCAACATCGATGAGGATCTATATGCGAATGCGCACAAAATTCCGGTGCGGCGTAGTGAGAGCGGTGATGAGGAATATGCCTCATCCATACACGAATTCTGTGATGAATATTTTCACTATTTGTTGTAGGTGGCCATAGCTTAGTTCCAATAGATTTTTTTTTTGCATTTATTAAAATACAATGTACTCTAAATAGGCATAAAGCCTAAACATATATTCTTTATGTTTGTTCTAGTGTATTCGACACTCTTGATTTGCTTTTCTTTTCTATAAAAGACAGTCTGATTGATTTAAGACAGACTGTAGATTTATTTAAAAAGTATTTTCTTTAAATATATATGAATATATCATTGTATTTTTGATGTGCGAAAAATTGTATAAAGTTTCATTATTGCGATGCAGCTTGGGATCTCGGGGTAGTGCTAAGAACGGGATTGGGTATTGCGAACTGAATTTGGGTGGCTAAAAGAACTTAAAATAAACTAAATATTAGTTGCATTCGGCGCTGTCGGACGTATCCAAAGCGAATCGTTTGAAGATGACGCCCAGTGGCAGCTAGTCCATATCATCGTCATCATCATCCGATATGGTATATTTCTTTTGGGCGCGCTTGCGACGCGTTTGCTTCTTGGATGTGGTCGCTGCGCCACTGCTAGCCACCGAGGCAGCTGTTGAGGATTGTGTGGGCGTGGCTGGTGCACTGGCCAGTGATTTGTTGAGTTTAAGCTTCATTTTAACTGCCGCCGCCGAGGTGGTGGCTATTTCCTCATCATCCGAGTTATCATCGCCCTCATCGTCATCATTGTCCGAATTGTCGGAACCACCGCCACCGCCATTGCCGTGAGCATCGCTCGTGTTGTCGCCAGCAGCTACAGCGGCCGCATCCGCAGCGGCCGTTATTCTTTGCCTAGCGCTTACAAACACTTTTTGCAACGCCATGGAATCTAGATAAATGAGTGATGCCTCCTCATTGTAGATTTGCGCATTCTGACAGAGCTGCATAAAGTCCTTTTCGAGCTCATTGAGATCCGCGTATTTGCAATCCTCGATGCGTTGCAGTATTTTCTTAATGTCCACCGGCCGCTTGATAATATCATAATAATCGGGCAACCGCTGGCGCGAGGGAAGCTTCATAAATGGCTCTGAGAGCGTGCGACCATCCTGAGTGTGCTTGATGACAGCGCTCATGATCTTGTGCATTTGCTTCTTGGAGCGTTTGTCCAAATTCTGGCGGCGTCTGCGCTTCAATATCAGTGAATCGTCATCCGACTCATCTTTGCGGTTCTTGCGTTTGCGACGCTTGCGCTTTGAGTCGTTATCCTCCTCCTCCTCTTCGTCAAACTCGGCGCCATCATCGATTGCCTTGAGCCACTCCTTTTCGGTCAGACTGTCCGTGTAGTCAACCTCCTTGCGCTGTCGTGATCCCCGACCTGAAAGTTCAAGCGAAATAATTAGATTATGGTTCTCGGCATATATACAAAACAAAATTAACTTACCCAATATGGTATCTTCATCATATTGGTAGTGGAAACGCTCCACCTCGTCATCGTCCTTCGTTAGCCAGTCGGGCAGCTCGGATTCATCAATTAGACGGTCTCGGCCCGGATGAATATCCTCATCCTCTTTCTTGCGTTCAATATCCATTCTCTTGAAGATTTCAATTTCTTCCTCACTGCGCGCTATCATCATGTTAATCATCTCATCATCGGGCACTTCATTCTCTTCCTCTTCCTCGTTGTCGTCCTGATGCAAAATAGTTTGCAAAAATTGCTGACGTTCGCTGCCCGTGGATTTCTGATCGAACATGCCCGCCTGAATGACTTTCTCGTCCATGTTCAGCTTGTATCGGGCCGCGGCCAAAATACGCTCCTCCACCGAATTGACCGTCATTAGACGCAATACACGCACCTCATTACGCTGACCGATACGATGAGCACGATCCTGCGCTTGCAGATCCTGATGCGGATTCCAGTCAGAATCAAAGATGACCACTGTGTCGGCTGTCTGTAAATTCAAACCGAGACCACCGGCGCGTGTGGAAAGCAAGAAGACAAAATAATCGGAGCCCTTGGCATTAAATTTACGCAGCAGTTCGCCACGATCCTCAGCCTTGGTGGTGCCATCCAGGCGCAGGTAACCAAACTGGCGCCAACTAAGATAATCCTCGATAATGGTCATGCACTGGGTCATCTGACAGAAGAGCAGCACACGATGATTCGTTGCCTTCAGTTTGGGCAAAATACGATCCAACAGCTCAAATTTACCTGACACTCGATAAAGATCGGGTCCTGCAAAAAAAAAAAAAATCATGTTAACTTTGAAAACCGAACCTCATACTAACAATGGTTAAATAATTACCTGAGACTACGCCATGCCCTCCAGTATGATCGCAATACTTCTCCTCGATGTGCTGGAACATGAACGGATGATTGCATAGCTTGCGCAGCTGAACGATGGTGTTCATTAAAGCCTTGGCGCCGCCCTTTCCATGCTTGCCCTTCTCGGAGCCATCGGTAAGCAGGACACCCTTGCTCTGCATGTGCTTGTAGAGAACGCGCTGCAGTGCGGACATGTCGCACTTGATGATGTACTCGACCTTATCGGGTAGCTGATGCTCGACCTCCTTTTTGAGACGGCGCAACAGGAACGGACGCAGCACCTTGTGCAAGCGGCGAATAATCAAAATGGTTTCCTCCTCATTCAGTTCAACTTTCTCGCCGGTGGTTGCAAACGGCGCATTGAACCACTGCTCAAATGTGGAGCAAGATTTGAAAATGGAAGGTAGCAAAAAGTTGAGCAGCGCCCAAAGTTCGGGCAGCTTATTCTGCAGCGGTGTGCCCGTGAGTAGCAGTCGATAAGGCGCTATGTAATGTGTATTGAGCACCTGCGTCAATTTGCAATGATGATTCTTCATGCGATGACCCTCGTCGATGATCATGTACTTCCATTGTATCTTGGCCAGCACCGCCTTGTCCTTGATCACATACTCGTAAGTGGTTAGCAGCACATTAAATTTGGTGGCACGCATTTGATTCTGGAGCAGACGGCGACCCTGTGGACTGCCTTTGTAGCTGACAACGCCAACGGAGGGCGCCCATTTCTCAAATTCCAGCACCCAATTGGGAAGTGTGGAAAGTGGTACAATGATTAAATACGGACCCATCACCTTCTTGCGATCCATTAGATAGGTGACCAGTGAAATGGTCTGAATGGTCTTGCCGAGACCCATCTCATCGGCCAAAATGCCATTCAAATTGTTGTTATACAGCGAGACAAGCCATTCGAGACCCTTCAACTGATACTCTTTCAGCTGGCCATTGACCATAATAGCGGCCTGCTCTGTGACCTTCTCGTGCACAGTGTGCGCAATGCTGTAGTATGTTTGCTCCTCAGTACGATATTCATCATCCTCGACCTTGACTTGGTTAATCAAATCGTTGGCTTCCGGATCACCTGATTGCGCCGATTTGTCTGTTGTGTCTTCAGATCCCTCTGCGCTAGAATTACGCTCCAACTGTGGCTGCTCCTCAAGCTTTGGTTTCGCTTTCTTCTCTGGCGAACCGTCGTTCTCGTCATCGTCATCGTCTATCCAATCCCAGCCGGGATGCATGTTCAGCCAGCGATGTAAATGCTTAAGCATCGGTGCATCATCACCGGTTAGCTTCTTGCCGCTGCATTGCTCCACCACATGGACACGCATATCGGCGGCAATGCTGCTCTCATCAATGTTGACGTATTCGCCGGTCATGAGCAGCTCCTTTTTGTACTGCTGCAGACGTTTGCCTTCCTCCTCCTTTTTCTTCATCTGGTCGTCCTTGTGCTGCTTGACCATCTGTGTGAGATTGCTAATGTACTCGTCTGTCTGGGACAGCAGGAATGCCAAGCGCTTGTCCTTCTTCTGATCGATCAGTTTGCGGTAACCCTCCTCATCCTCGGCCATCAAGCGACGCATACGCTCTTTCTCGATGCGCTCCTGTTCCTTCTTCTGTTCACGTTCCGCATTCGCATGGTAGTTCATCACGGACTTGTTCATCCGCGCCAGCTGAGCCTGCACAGTACGAATTAAGATTTAGTGTTTGGGAAAAACTTCTCCTGGTCTATTTGTACCCACCTTGTTATTGCGATGATATTCACGCAGATCCTTGCCATGCTGCAGCACTGCAGACAAGAACTCAAGATGCTTCTGTCTGCGTTTCCGTTCCGCTTCGAGTTTCTGCTGTTTCTCGAGCTTCTCGGTGGCGCGTGCCTCGCGCAGCCCTTGACGCTTGGTACGCTTGTAGAACTTCATATTGATGGCAGTCTCCAGCGTTGTGTCGCGTCGTGTGCATTGTACAATTTCCATGCGCAGCTGACGTTGAAAGTTCAGAACGCGCAGAGCACGCAACTCAATGGCCGCCTGAAGGCGCAGATCCTCAGACATTGTGGCCGGCAGCCTTTGTAGCTCCTGCATGCGAAGCGATATGCGTGCAGCTATGCGATTCTCGCGTTCCTGCAGCAACGTGATAGGATCGAGACCCACCGGCTTGGCCACGGTGGTCACGCGGTTTGGTTTGGCCATTGGCTGTTGCTGTCCGGGCGGTGCGCCTGGTCTCGGCGGACCCGGTGGCGCAACTTGATTACCAGGCAGACCTGGCGCCGCAGGACGCACGCCCTGCACCTGCATAGGTGAAGCTGGTATCAACGGCTGGCCCCCAGCTGCACCCATGGCCAGCGGCTTACCACCATTGTGCTGCTGATGCTGCAACTGATCTGGTGGGGGCTGCAGAGGCTGCTGTTGCTGTTGTTGTTGCTGTTGCTGCTGCATTTGTTGTTGTTGCTGCTGTTGCTGCTGCTGCTGCTGTTGCTGCTGCATCTGTTGTTGTTGCTGCTGCGGCGGCGGAGGAGCGCCACCGATCAGCGGCGGCTGGGGCTGCAACGGTTGCCCTTGCATATGCGGAGGCGGCGCTGGCTGCATTTTCTGTCCAGGCACTGGCGGGCCGTATGGACTAGCTGGTGGCGTAGAACACTGGGGCGGGGTGCCTGTCGAGGGCGGCTGTTGGGGCTGCATAGGCTGCTGACCCCCATGCGGCACACCCGGCGGCGGTCCACCCGGCATACCCGGCGGTCCGATGGGCGGCGGCGGTTGTTGCTGTTGCTGCTGCTGTGCCGCCTGCAACGCCTGCTGCATCTGCATGGAAATGGGTTTGTTGCGTGCCAGCATGCGGTAGGCAGTGATCTGTGTGCGCAGCAGATTAACCTGATTGCCATTGAGATGCTGGTGCTTGGAAGTGGCGCGCATTGCCAGCAGTTGCGAGTAGCGTGGATCCTCTTGCAGTCCCTTCTCCTCCATCGAGTCAATGGCCCGTTGCAGGGCATGCAGATTCTCTTGGCCGGAACGCTCGGGCGGACCGCCAGGTGGACCACCAGGCGGGCCCTGACCAGGCTGTGGCGGACCCTGCATAATATAAGTTTCACATAAAATGAGAGTCCAAACATTGGGTGGAGCGACAATTTGTCAAGTTAATCCAATATATAACACGACCACTTCAGCGTTATCCCTTCCTTTACTTATATCTAATATTTGATAAATTTGATTATCTTCTTTTATTTTTATTTAGATCATAGCGAATAAATTCTCTTCTATAATTCTAAAAAATAAACTTATTTTACTCAGTGTTAACCCTTTTGCAAGAGTATTTAGCCGTCGACTCCGCAAAGATAGCATGTTTGGTTTTAATTTACAAAACAATTAAAGAAAAAGCTTTTTGCATCTCACAAAACTTGAAATTATCTCAGTCACGATGAGTGAAAAATTCAGTTCGATAGCTCAGTGCGAATTCATTACTCGAAGGCAGCTGACAACGCTGCCCGAATCTTTAGACTCGAAAGTAACAATGACAAGCACAATGGCAATTGAGGAGCTTTACAAGTTCATCTACCCGCTAGCTGTAAAAGCAGGTGAAATACTACTCGAAGGCTATCAAAATTCTGGAAAATCAGTGGCATTGAAGCGCAACGAATTCCACAACGTTGTCACCGAATACGATAATGAGATTGAGGAGTTTCTCATGACCAGCATACTGGCAAGCTATCCAGAGCACAAATTTATTGGCGAAGAGGATACGCACAAGAACAACAACATAACCAAGGAGCTGACAGATGCGCCCACCTGGATCATAGATCCCATCGATGGCACCTCCAATTTCATTAAACAGATACCCCATGTATCGGTTTCGATAGGACTCTCCATCAATAAGCAAATTGTGCTGGGCGTGGTAAACAATCCCGCCCAGGGCAAGCTCTACACAGCCAAGTTGGGTCAAGGAGCCTTCTGTAATGGTAAACCCATTCATGTCAGCAATTGTGAGCGTCTGAACGATGCCAATGTGGCCTATGAGGTGTGTCTGCAGCACGAGCCAACGATTAGAAAAAAACACATCAAACGCATATACTATGTGGGCTCTCAGGCGAGACGGTTCGTACAATTAACTGATTCACATGAAAATCAAACTCTATTTAATATTTCTTTGCTTAGCTTGCTTGGCTATTCCGCTGTAGTGGATTCACTTTGCATGGTCGCCGCTGGCAACTTGGATGCCTTTCACATTGAGGACATGTATCCCTGGGACTGTGCCGCTGGCTATCTGCTTATACGTGAAGCTGGCGGCGTTGTTACGCATCCGTATGGTGGCGCCTTCGACATTATGAAGCCCGACTTGATATGCGCCGGAACAGAGGCATTACGAAAGCAAATTGAAACTCTAATACGCAAGGCAGATCAAGCCAAGTCTGTGGGAGGCGAAGAGGATACTTAAATATACATATTAACTGTTTTTTTTTTTTGGTGTGGACAATAAACAAGTTTTGTATATATGAGAAAAATAAGTATGTCTATTAAATAAGCTACAGTGCACACCGAAACTCTTTTAAAATTTAAATTATACTTTTGGTATAAATTTGGTGTTGCCACCTCGTAAGGCATACGCGTGGAGCTGCCATATTAGCAATATTTTAAAGACTGGCAGCACCTAACGCAATTTAACTTCCAGTTAAATCAGCCAACTCAAAGTAATTTTCTTTAAGTTAACATATTTTAAATATTTTTTTTTTTGTAATAAAATATTTTATAATTTTTCATTTAGTGATGTTTGCTTTCTATTCTAAAAATTTGTTATATTTTTTTTTTGTTTAATTTAAAATTTGTACTGATTTTAGAGACCCTGAATGCAAGATTTTGTGCAATTATTTTATAAATAGCTTTCTGCTTTGCATTAATAATATTTCTTATCAAGTGACACAAATTAATATTGTGCGTATCTTATCAATGTTACAACAGCTTTATAGCTTTAAGGAGATGTAGACATGGTAATTAAGTCAAAGATTAGCCTTATCATTTTTTCTTGACTATCATCCCGAATTGGATCAGACTCAATCATAAAGCGACAGTACCCCTTTCGAACGACTCTACTCTTCAAAGTTCAAAGTTTTTTGCATGCTAGAGCTTTGGAAAAGCTTTTTAAAGCTGTATGGCCGCAACTCAAATTAGATATTAAAATTCATTGGTTAGCGTCAGTTTGTCGAGTCCAAAACAAGAAACATGAGCAACAACACAATTAGTGAGGCGAAACTGAAGGAATATTACGAGGTTGCTCTGGATTTGGTGCAGAAATGTGGTCCTATGCTGATGGAGGGTTATAGAAAGCCCAAAGCGGATTTTACGGTTAAGGCAGACTTTTATGACTTGGTCACCGTTTATGACAAACAGATCGAGGATGCCCTCACGGCTGGTCTGCAGACAGCCTTTCCCGAATCCCTAATCATTGGCGAGGAGGAATCGGCAGCTACTGAACGGCAAGCCGTATTAACAGATGCGCCCACCTGGATCATTGATCCCATTGATGGCACCACAAATTTTGTACATCGCATACCACATTGCTGCATTTCGGTCGGTCTGACCATCAACAAAGAACTGGTCGTCGGCATTATATACAATCCGCCGGCAAATGAGCTGTTCTCGGCATGGAAGGGTCACGGCGCCTACTTGAATGGCCAGCGCATACACACCTCAAAAGTGACTACGGTAAGTTCTGGCTGGTTATCATTATATAATTTCCAAAAAAAAAAACACAACAATCATGATGATAAAGAGACCGCAGTATAAGTATAAATAGTCCAACTTCGTTAAATGTTTGCTTGCACCCGCGAATCATAAACAAAAGTTTTCGAGTCTTTTTTTTTTGTGTTGCTCTCTCATTTTTGAAGCTTTTTTTTCAGATCAAACAAGCTGTGGTTGCCTACGAAATCTCGTTGATACATGCCGCCGCCGTGAGAGACAAGAATGTAAAACGCCTTTACAAGTTGGGCTCAAATGCCACCGCGTGAGTTCAACATTGAGCTTTAATTGTGCGAGAGACTAGAAAAAGCACTCCCATTGTTTTTTAACAGTACTCGCAGCTTTGGCAGCGGTGCGCTGGCCTTGTGCTATGTGGCGACTGGACAGTGTGATACGTATCATGTTGAAGACCTAAAGCCGTGGGATATTGCAGCCGGAGCCGTAATACTAACGGAGGCGGGTGGCACCATTTATCATACCAAAGGCGGTAAATTTAATGTGATGAAACCGGATCTTGTGTGCGCCAGCACAGATGAACTGGCCAAGAATGTGATGAGTCTCATTGAAGAAGCCGATCAAATTACGGAATATACATTTAAGTAAATTTGTAAATATATGAAAATACTAAAATGCAATCAAAACTTTATGCTGCTAATAAAATGTAACAAAAATAAGCCCATATTTAAAGGATCTCATTAATATATGTGGACTCTGCTCAAGTTAAGAAAACATTTCAAGTTTTACTTGGCAAATAATTATTGTTAAGCAAAGAAAACTAATCCCGAATGGATAAAGAATATAATAAAAAATATTTTAGATAAAGACACTTAAATAATATCTCGCGTTCTACAAATACACTTTAAAAAATTGCATCATATGTGGATGACTTTTTAGTTGTCAATTGAAACCGGTTTCGTTTTTCTCGCAATTTGTCGACTACCCTATGCGATAGACACATGTATGTTAAAGATAACGAAACTTCTATTTGTGGTCGTCAAACTAAACGAGATAAAGCTGGAGCAGGCAGCAAGCAACTGATTTCAATTTTCAGTTCATCTTCAGTTCAGTGCAGCAATCAAAGCTCAATGTAAACAAATGCGAGAGATTGTTGAAATTGCTGGAGCTTCGCTCGCCGATCAGTCGGCAGCTGGAACCAAGACGCTAACAACGACTGCGCGGATTGCATAGATCATTTGTCATTTGCATACAGCAAAAAGATGTCAACGGAAATTGAGGAGTTGTATAACTTTATCTACCCGCTAGCCATAAGGGCGGGCGAAATTCTGCTCGAGGGCTACGAGCGTAAAGAGAAGAATGTGGACATTAAGGGTGCATTTTATGATGTGGTCACCGACTATGACAACAAAATCGAGCAGTATCTTATGGGCGAAATACTGGCCAAATATCCGCAGCATAAGTTTATTGGTGAGGAGGAGACAGCCAAGAACAACAATGTGTCTAAGGAGCTGACAGATGTGCCCACCTGGATCATAGATCCCATCGATGGCACCTCCAATTTCATTAAACAGATACCCCATGTATCGGTTTCGATAGGACTCTCCATCAATAAGCAAATTGTGCTGGGCATTATGAATAATCCAGCCCAGGGCAAGCTCTACACAGCGAAGTTGGGTCAGGGAGCCTTCTGTAATGGTAAACCCATTCATGTCAGCAATTGTGAGCGTCTGAGGGATGCCAATGTTGCCTATGAGGTGTCTTTACTGCACGTTCACAAAGTGGCCAACAAGCATATCAAACGCATCTACCATGTCGGATTGCATGCTAGGCGGTAAGTAAGCTAATATAGTGCCACCTTGAAATGCTATAATCTTGTTGTTATTCTGTGATCAGCATGCTAGCCTACTCCTGTGTGGTGGATGAGCTATGCATGGTGGCCGCTGGCAATTTGGATGCATTTTATATTGAGGACATGTACCCTTGGGACTGTGCCGCTGGCTCATTACTGGTGCGTGAGGCAGGAGGAGTGGTGACACATCCTTTTGGCGGACCTTTTGACATAATGAAACCGGATTTAATTTGCGCTGGGACCGAAGAGTTGAGAAAAGAAATTGAAAACCTGCTCCGCAAGGCGGACCAAGAGCATTCGGTGGGGAGCGGAGAAGTTTAGAATGTTTTAACAAAAACACAAACGTAATTAACAAATATATAAGGGAAAAAAATAGAAACAAATAAAGCTCGGCAATTAAAATAATTTAAGAGTATGCATACAGAAAGCTTAATTTGGGCTTTAATTGTTATCTCTTTGTTAGAAAGAGCTTTGAATAAAAAGCTTTGGAAACTTTGTAATCAAAAAAGTAGATAAATTAACATTACGCTTTGTTGCTGAACGGACCGCAAGCCTTTTTGTAAGTCTCACTTTACGATCAGCCAAATATGTACAAATTAATACATATATATATTTTGGCTTTTAGGAAACCTATAGATATGGCCCATATAAGCGACGCAAAGATCAAGGAGTACTACGATGTTGCTCTGGACTTAGTTATCAAATGTGGTCCCATATTTAGGGAGGGCTACAATAAAACAAATAAAGAGGTTATGGTGAAAGCGGCCTTTTTTGACCTTGTCACCGTTTACGACCGTCAAATTGAAGAAAAGCTAACCGAGGGTCTACTGAAAGCATTCCCTGAATCACTTTTCATAGGTGAAGAAGCGTTGGCTGGTACGAAGCAGCTGCCGGAGCTGACAGATGCACCTACATGGATCATTGATCCCATCGATGGCACCACAAATTACATACACAGACTTCCGCATTGTGGTATTTCGGTTGCTTTGGTCATTGATAAGCAGCTGCTGGTGGGCATTATCTACAACCCAGCGGCAAATGAATTGTACTCGACGTGGAGAGGACATGGCGCCTTTCTAAATGGCGAACCCATTAAAGTATCCAGTGCGGCTACGGTTGTTATATACCACATGGACACATAAAAACAGGGGTCTATTAACGAATTGTGATATTTCAGATGTCCAGCGCGGTGGTAGGACACGAAATAACTCTTGTTAATGTGGCTCCATTGCGTGATAGATGCCTTAAACGTGCTTATAAACTGGGCTCTGTAGCTGCTGGGTAAGCCATGATTAAATGAGCAATGATTCACGAACTAAAACATACAAATGCATGGACAGCACGCGATGCTTAGCAAGTGCTGCCTTATCCCTGGCATACGTAGCAAAAGGCACACTGGATGCTTATCACGTGGACTATCTAAAGCCATGGGACGTGGCTGCCGGAGTGCTGCTGGTGCGCGAAGCCGGCGGGGTGGTACATAATACAAATGGCAGCGTGTTTAATTTGATGAAGCCAAACCTTGTGGCCGCCGGCACAGAACCGCTTGCCCAGGAGATCATACAACTGATCGAGCAATCAGCTCAAATTAAGGACTACACATTCACTTAGTTTATAAGCCAATTACTGCACTTACATTGGGCGGCATGCCGTGCGTTTGATAGCCAATCGGCGACATATTCGGTCCAGCTGGTGGCATTTGCATGCCCATATGCGGCGCTGTAAATAGGACAATCCGATATTAAACTTGTTTATAAAACTACTGAATTATGCGCATACTCATGCCCTGATGATGCGGCGGCATATGATGGCCTGGTGGACCCTGCCCGGGCGGTCCATGTTGCATGGGATGGCCGTATGGTCCAGCTGGATGACCCGGAGGGGGTGGTCCTTGCATGTGCGGTGCACCAGGCGGTGGTCCCTGCGGCGGTCCTTGGGGTGGCTGGTGCGGATAGGGACTATGTGGCGAGGGCGCAGGGCTTTGAGAGGGTGGCGCCATAGGGCTGGGTGCCTGTGGTGGCGGCATCGGACTATTCGCCGGCGAGGGCGAGGCCATTTCGCTGCGTTTTATATTAGTTCGTTTTGCACAGGACAGCCCCTATAAATGTTAGCTAAAAAGTTGTGCAAACATAAAAATACAGTATTTTTGCTTAGTTTTCAGCATTTCATTGCTCTTAGTTTTGCGCAAAGTCCATTTAAATGTATATAAACTGTATATGTAATCGTTATTTGGCTTTGTTGCTCTCCTCCTCACCGCACACACACTTTATTCGCACATGCCTTAAAACTCATGTAAAAAGCCTTCGCTGCGCTTGTTTTACACGACACACATATCAGTGATATTATCAGACACCATATTGCACAATATTTAGACCGAAATTTTACCTATTTGCACAATTTGAATACGTTTTAGGTCCCCCGATTTTCACACTTTTTATTGGGCGATAGACGCGACAATGGCGGACGTCTCTGTATAACAAATTCAAAACTGTGGCAACCCTATGCACCGGCAAAAATTGGCTGCGTTCAGCTTAACATAAATTATTGCAAAAATGTTGTTAAGAAGAAACAAAGTTTATCATAGGCCGCACAATTTCATTAATTTTAATAACATTGCTGCATAATTTTAATTAAATAATTATATTGAATAAAAATATTTTTGGCCTGCTGAACGCATGCTATGACACGTCATGTTTACGTCACCTGTGAATGGCAGAATTTTTGTCATTTGGTGAAAACAAGAGCAGAATTCGTTTAAAGGGCAAAATAAAATAGTTAGTTTTAAATAATACTTAAGCATTTAGAGGCAATTAGTACGCTGCAATCGAGCTTTAATCATGGGTAGGTAAGGCACCCCAGTAGTAGCACGGTCCAACCTTTGCATGGTTCTCGTTTATCGTGTCTGGCGCCTGTCATAAAAGTCACCACCTATCAATTTTCTGATTTCATTTTTTTTTTTATTTTTACTGCAGGTGGGGTGCTCAGCTATTTTCGTGGTCTGCTCGGATCCAGAGAGATGCGCATCTTAATTCTGGGCCTGGACGGTGCCGGCAAAACAACAATACTGTACAGGCTGCAGGTCGGTGAGGTGGTTACAACGATACCCACAATTGGCTTCAACGTGGAGCAGGTCACATACAAGAACCTTAAGTTCCAAGTCTGGGATCTGGGCGGCCAGACAAGTATTAGGTGAGAGATGCTGTGCTCGCGTCCTTACAATCTATCGACTAAAAATAGATCAAATCTTTCTGGAAAAATATTTAAAAACATTTTTTTTTCTAGACCTTACTGGCGTTGCTATTACAGCAATACAGATGCCATTATCTATGTGGTTGATTCGGCGGACCGCGACCGCATTGGCATTTCGAAGGATGAACTGTTGTACATGCTGCGCGAGGAGGAGCTCGCCGGCGCGATACTCGTTGTGCTTGCCAATAAACAGGACATGGAGGGTTGCATGACCGTGGCCGAGGTACATCATGCGTTAGGATTGGAAAATCTAAAAAATCGCACATTTCAAATATTTAAAACATCGGCCACCAAGGGCGAGGGCCTGGATCAGGCCATGGACTGGTTATCAAATACGCTGCAAACTCGAAAATAGTCACGCCCCGAAAACCCTAGATGAGCCTGCCCCCTTGTAAAATTGTCCAAAGTGTCACCCAGAGATAGTTGGAAGATCTATAACGCTTGCGCAAATATCCAAACACATACACACACACAACTTTGTAATAACTTCTAGTAATATAATTATTAAATTATAGGTTTATAATGTATGCAAAAATGTGTATATGGAACAGCTACCATTCAGGCAGTCCAAAGCGAAGCACACGCTTCTGCTGTGTGTCCAGTTCTAGGCGCACCTTTTGTCGCATATAGAAAATGGGACAATCACGATTACAGCAGATTACCTCCTCATGCAGCGAGCCCTGACAACGCTGGCATTCTGTCCATAGGCGAGCAAAGGTTTCCTCCAAGCCCCGCTTGGAAGCTAGCTCCTTTTGATAAAGTTCGCTCATCTTTGGCTCACAGTGTGGGCATAGCGAGGCCTGCTCATAGCCCTTGGGCATAAGCGATTTGCAGCCGAGACAGGAAGTCTTTTTGGTCATAAAGCCCGCCAGTCCGCCCACCTTGGATGTGACCACGGTACGCGTACGCGTATGCTCGCCTTTAAGCAGCACTGATTCCGCTTTATCGCCCAGTATGGGTTCAAAAATGCGCAGCAGTGGCTTGGACAGCTGCTGCTCCAAATAATAATTTGCATCGATGGGCACACTATTCTCCAGTACATACAGCGGATCCTCAGCCTTTTGATAAGCCGGCGTATTTTTAGCTGCAGCACAAATGACATAGGGCACACGATCGCCCAGTTTGGGCGCTGTGCCAGCATCGCGTTTCTTCATTTTGGCCGCCAGCTCCACATGCGCCTGCTTGGCGGCATAATCTGTTTTGGCCAGCTCTTTGGTAATGACCAGCTGGGATATGTCTATGCGATTGCATAACAGATCAGCGATTACTTGTTTAGCATAATCAACAGCGCCATCCGGATCGCGTTCGATCAGCAGCTTTTGCAGACACGCATTCATTAGATTGGCCACCAGTGGCGAATTATCGCGACGCACTGTCTCAATGCCCTTGCAATCCATTTTGTCATACTTATCGGGCTTGGTAAAGTACAAGCCCGCATAGCGCTTCTTGTTAATCAGCAGGTAGGGATAGTAGACCTTTTCAAATTCCAACTTGATGGGCCGCACAAATTTGGAGCTAACCAAATCGGCTGCCTCTCTGCCCAGCTCCATGCTGCGCTCCAGTGTCTTCACGCCGAAGTTAACCATAACCGAATCTGTATCGCCGTAAATAACAACTGCATCATTCTCATAGCCATTGGCGCGTGTATAGTGTGATTCAACCTCGTTTTTGGTCAATTCAATCATGGTGCGTCCATAGGCGGTGACGCTGCCCGAGATTTCCAAGCATGGTAATTTGCCCACTTGGGCGCCAGTGAAGCCATACACAGAATTTGCCGAGATTTTCAATGCCAGCTGCCGGCCATCCAGTACTTGACGCTTGAAGGGATCCGTTTCCACTTTTAGATCATTTTTGGCACGCTTTCGTGCCGCCAAGAGTGACTCGAGAATTTCGGGCAATAGGCCGCGACGCAATTCCGCCTTCACAAAGACATTATTGGCGGGCGTGCGCTCCACTTGGTCATCGGTCAGACCCATCTTATCCTTTGTGCCCGGCAGCAACAATGTGGTGTAACAAAGATTATGGGCCATCATTATGCTCGGATATAGCGAGGCAAAATCGAGTGTGCTTATGGGATCCGCATAGTATCCCCTTTTTGGCTCTATGACCGTGGCACCCTCGTACTGCTCATCGGACCCACTCGAGGTATAGGATGGCATTATAAAACCCTTTGTCTTGGCCTTCCGCAGCAGCTGACTCAGTACTTTGATTTGCTGTCCCCGTGTGAGCAGCGATTCAAGCGGCACACCCGTCACACGCGCCATTTCCATGTAATTAACAATGGCCATCAGCTTGCCGAGCAAACGTAGCGGCAAATACGCATCCTTTAAACAGTACATGGCCAGACGACGTCGGGTCTGTTCATCTCCATTTTGTAGATCCGTAATGATGCTATGATGCACATCCTCCTTCTGCTCCTGCAAGAAATGATAGCTCACAGCGTTGAGTGTGTACGAGCGCAATTTGTAATCACGCAGCAGCACGAGAAACAAATCAAAAGGCACACGTCCCTCGAAGTTAACATATTGATTCTCGCGTCTGCCCATTTGTTTGGACTGCAGCATCTGCTCCTTGATAACCGAACGTATATTCTTAATGCGTCCCAAGTATTCAAAGTTTTTCACCTTCAAATGGGCAGCACGATTTAGTAGGTAGGGTATGTCGAAATTGTTAATGTTGTAACCAGTAAGTATGTCGGGATCCACTTCGCGCACAAAGGCCGACCACTTGTCCAGCAGCTGCGTCTCCTGGTCATAGCTCAGCACCTGGCTGCCTATGATGGGCGCACATTGTTTTAAAGTGAAAACATTCCGAATGAAAGGTTCCGATTCGCCCTGTCTTATGACCATATTGGCAATTTGTATAACCGGATCCATTTTGGCTTCCGGAAAGATGCCTTTACGTCCGGCACACTCAATGTCAAAGCTTAGTATACGCAAGGGCGCCACTTTGGACCATTCGCCTTCCGGCTCATGTGATATAAATTGATCATAGGCGACGTCCACTTCTATTTGACAGCGCGATTCGGTCGCCGGCTTCGAGTTGTGTCCACGTAGACGCCAAACACCCGGCGGCAATTCAATCCAATTGCAACCGACCACATGCGTATCCACCATGAAGCGTATATCAAAGTCGATATTATTTTCAAAGGCTCGACAGTCCTGGAAGTCAAAGTTGCTCATTATGACCTCCTTCTTGAGCAGCCTCGAAGCGGCGGCCACAAAACGTGGCATAGTAACCGTAATCTTGATATACGTCTGCTTATCATCGCCCTGGTAGCCATGTATATTGAGTCGCTGAACCAGCTCCACGGCTAGCACTGCCTCTTGTACATTATCTTTGTTGCCACGCATGTCGGCGATCACCTTCTTGTCGAGCGCCTCGTGCAGCTCCGAGCAGTGGCGCTGTTCAAAGTCGCGTGGCGCAGTTATATAGAAATACGGACAGTAACCGTGCACATGACAGCATACGGAGTTGCCCTCCATTGTGACACCAAACATGCGGACCACGGGCACAGGACCTAGTTGTGCGCCAGGCATGCCCGGCAGAGCTTGCCCCACATAGTTCTCCACATCCAGCTGCTGAAAGATTAAACAGTCTGTGGCGGGGTCTAGCTTGGGAGGCGGCGCGCGTGACCAGCGTTCGCTGGTTTGTTGATTCTCGGGCCCCTCACCAAGCAGCTGTGATTGGTCAAGCTCATCAATTGCCTCAAATGTAGCCAGTTCCGCTTCAAATCCACCGCCCATATCGTCGTCGTCGTCGTATTTTCTGCACGTTCCACACAAGATTTAAATGGAATATTTTTTATGATCGTCAGTACTCTACCTGGGCTTTTTAGAATGTCCATTTGCTGGGCCATTGCCATTAAACTTCCGTTTGGCATCCATGCTGGCCTTCTTGTATAATATAAACAAATATAACAACTAAAATAAAAACAATTCGCAAATTATTTGCCGCAAAAACAACGCGACAAGTACGCGGGAAATCAGGCAGGAACTGTTTGCTTAAAACAGGTTGGCAGTTCTACAGCTTATGGCATTTAAAGTATTTCGTATGCCTGATTTGAAATTGCCTTATTTTAATGCGTTTGAATTTTTGCAAATTAGAATTTGGTTGGTTAGGCTGAAATAGAAAAATTGCAATGCAGCATATAAAATAGAACGTTGCAAATAAATGCCTAATTTGAGTACATTTTCTTTTTGAGGTATTTCTTATGTATTTGTGGT